ACGTCGATGGTCCTGTGAGCCATCGGATAGTCTTGTGTACTATCTCAGGTAATCTTGTGCATTACCCAACGTCGATGGCCCTGTGAGCCATTAGATAGTCCTGTGTACTATCTCAGGTAATTTTCTCCGTTGTCCAACGTAGATGGTCTTGTGAGCCACTAGGTAATCCTGTGTACTACTTCAGGCTGAGTCGACTTCCCAATGGCTTGAGTTTGCTCCATTTCATCCGATAGGCCGCGGGGACGCGACCACGTCAGGATGGCCGAATGTTAGAATCACATTAAAAATTGTTTACTTCTCACTTGACATGTTAATATAGACTGATTTGTAACCAAAGGTTCCTAATGAATGGCAGGGCAAAGGGGGCCACAAGTTGGGTGAGAAGTGTTGATTGAGGACTGAATAAGGGTTTTAAGGGACAGATAGGTTTTGAGCTGCGTAGTGCGCGGTTGAATGTTATATTTTGTTCCGAGTTGTATTAATATTGTCGGTGATTAAAAACCGTATTGTATTTAATTGACTTGGTTTTATTTGTTTCAATCATTGACTCTAACAAATCAGAAGTGGGATTCTTATCCAGTTCCGCAGTGAATTAGTGTTGTAAAGTTTTTGCGAAAGTTAATTTTCGTTGTCAAAATGCCGAAGAGCAAAACAAAAAGGAAACGTGTCGATACAAGCAGCAGTTGTTCTACGTGTAGCAGTAATAGTGATGTCAGTTCTACTTCTAGTTCTGATTCGGGAGACAAAAATGTGAACCGAACCAATAGAAAATTACGGAGAAAGTTGCGAAAATTGAAAGAAAAACTAAGTGTTAAGTCCGGACGTTTTTTGGGTAAAATTGACAGTATTCCTGTGTTTAGTGGAGGTTTTGATGAAAAATTAGATGTACAACAGTGCTTACGTCATATTGATGCAACAGGGGACATGTTTGATTGGGACGATAAAGCCCGAATCTTTTGCATGACAAACAAGGTCAAAGGCAATTCAAAGACGTGGTATTTAAACCAGGAAGACACTATAATTTCATGGATAAAATGGAAAAGAATACTCGTCGAGTCGTTTCCTGTGCAACAATGTGTTTTTGGAAAATTAAAAGAGCTCGTAAATGTGGAGAGAGAACCGAAACAGAATTTGATGGACTTCTATTATCAAAAATTATCTTTAGGCCAATATTGCAAACTAGAAGATCGCCTCATTGTGGACGTCATAGCAAATACAATAAATGTTCCGTTTCTTCAATCAGGTATTAGAGCAGCCTCTTGCGTAAGTATCAAAAAGCTATTATCTTTTCTCATAACTAACGCTGAACATACCAGGCCGCCAAAGCAAAGTCATTATCAGTCGAACCCTAACGTCACAAAACAATCCACTTCAAATGCAACACAAACAAATAACTGCTATTTATGCGGACGAGAAGGCCATAAAAGGGCGGAGTGTGATAAAAATTCGTCTACCATAACATGTTCCTTTTGTAAACTAAAGGGACATAAGGACGTTGATTGTTTTAAAAAGAAACGATATGAATAAGGTCGGCGTAAAGTAAATACATTACTGTGTGAGGTCAGTGATCATAATAAAATGAGTGAAAAGTTTTATAAACAAGCAAAAATAAATGGATTCATTATTTCTGCCTATAATGACTTTGGTAGTAATTATTGTAATAAATTTAAAGTGGACATTTTCAACAAATTAGAGATGGCTGCATGTATTAGCGATATNCAATGCCATTTAAATATTTTGGGGTGATGCTTACCCTTGCTTGGGGGTGAAAGTGGCGGAGTCAAAAATACCAGCAAAGAATGTCCCCCTTTAATCTAAAATCGACGGGTCTGAGCGTTTTTCTACAATCTTGACGCAGTTCCTGAAAATGGCTCTGTTTCGTTTTCATTTGGCCACCCTGTATAACAATAATACATCTTCAAAGTATTCGTGGCATTTTTTAAAAGAGGGCAAAAATAACACTAATCCTTAGACGATGAGGTATCACAAATTTTTCAAAAGTTTTGCTTAGCATTTATATGTGGCAAAATACCTAAAAAGACCTGACAACCTATAAAACTATGACGCTTATAGCTTATTAGAATCAAAGAAAATATTAATTTTTATTTTTGTAACACGTAGGATACGGGAATATAAATAATATAAAAGAAAATGAATTAATTAACTAAGTACAAATTCTTGAGAATTTAAAAAACTGCCACATGAAAATATTTTCCTTCTATTGATATCACGCCGGTGCTCATTTCTGAATAAAATAATTTCAGGTCAACACCGGTACGCTGCGCACCATCTATCGACAGTTATTAAAACTACAACTCCCGTTCTAGTTGCCGAACAAACCCACTCTACCCAGAGGCGTATCATACGGTTGGAAAGTTTATCACATATTTTATGAATACAGGATGATATAAAAATTCTAAAGGTAAGTAAAAAGGCTTACCTTGTAACCCTGCGCAGTTTGCGTAGAAATATAATAAAAAATATTGTTAAATTCACTGAGAATATTTCAGGCCTCATTTTATTTTTATATATACATGCCACCACATTAAAATTCTGCGTTTTATCCTACATTTACAGCGTAACAGAAGAAATTAACAACGATGAGAAATAAAAATACTGCACATTAATTTACTGCTTCAACTAAGTAAACTAAAAGCTTGGTTTCCCAATTTTCGATATTTTCTCTTCCCATTTTGATGTGGTTTCTAATATTATACCGCAATTAAATAATAATTATATCACTTAAAAGGATATCAAGGATTTATTAAGTATAAAAAAATATATAATTAGATATTTTGTGTTCTAAAAACATTAATTACTTTACATCTATAAACGATTCCTTCTATAAAGATTTGCAATGACTATACGAAATGTGAAAATATTAACATAACTTGACAGTTTACATTTTATAGATGCATTTATTACCGATTCTAGTCTTCTGAGAAACACGTTCTAATAAAAACAAAAAATCATTTTCTTTGGTATAATGGTTCGAAACTGCTCAATGAATATAATTTGAATGTATGGTTATAACGTACGGGGAATTAAGAAAAATAAAGTAAAAAAGCTTGAAGCATTTTCTGTATACGTCTGCAGAAACCAAGCCTTTACAAGAAGCTCCATTCAGCAGGCGAAGAAAGCAATCGCACTTACCTGGAAATGAAGGATAATTGTCCAAATAAGTCCCAGGGTCAATTTGGGGTTGCCATCGACGATGTCCTCGGAACGGATATTGACTAACTTCACGTTCTTGCAGTGTAGAAAGTGCAGCGCCGTGTCGACATTATGTAACATGTGGAATCGCATCTGTCCTCTCTCTCGTGGCTGAAAAAAAATATACGCTCAATACGAACTTAAAAAACGTTATATGTCTGTAATACGTAAGTAATTAATTATAAAAATGATGCCAGCGGTTTCTCCCTTAATATTTTATAAATGAGTGCAAGGAAATTCGCCAAATTGTGCTTCGAGATATAAAAATGAATTTTTCATTTAATGCTTTCATATGTATAGGGTGGATAAATTTCAAAATTTTTAGAGAAATTCTCGTTTTTTTTTTCAGATGACAAAAAAACATTTTCTAACGGGTTCGAGAATTGTTGGTTGGCGAAAAACACTCGATGTTTAAAAATTTTTTCTATTCTAAAATAATTTATTTTTCTACAGAAACGATATTTTTCTATAGCTTCCTGTTTTCCAGTTACAATCACAACATAGGTATATTTTTAAATAGGTGAGATTTATAGGGAAAACATCTTTTTTAAGTGTAAATTGTAAAAATTATGCATATTTTTTTGTAATGCAACTGTTTCTTGATGCAGTTGTAAATGTACCATGGAAGTATATATCTGATGTGTCGAAGGAAAAATAGATGGCACATTGAATTTATCATGTTGATTTGTGGTGTCCATACTTTAAAAAAATTTTCGGTTATCATAAATGGATTAAATTTTAATTAGGAAACTTCACCAAGTTCAAAACACGTGTACCAGTTAAATGTATTTTCATGATGCAAGGTGTTGTATTGTTACTAAATTCTCTTGGGTTAATATACATAATTAGTAGAAAAAATTTGTCAAGTTAGATTACAAATATGTCAACCAGTGGTAGAAATATGCGGGATTAAGTCGTATAGAGCGCACAGTTTTAGAGTTATGATATTTTTAAAATGTCTTAGTTTTCACAAATAAATATTATTCGACATCATAAAAAACGGACAAAATAAAAAAACTCTTCGTAAAAGAATTAAGAAATTAAAATGCAATTTCTCGAAAATGGAGCTAGTGACAACTACTTTCTGGTCTACCTTTTTTTTAGAAATACGAGAAACTTAAAAAAAATGTCGGAATTGGTCCACTCTGTACATCTACACGATGACTGATAAATATATTCCGAATATTAAATTGAAATATTTGCCTGAATGCATTATGTAATAAAGTAAAGGTAACCTCAAACTATGTGATAATAAAAAGGAAGTTTTAAACGTTGCCACTTTTTTAGTGCAAAAACTTATCAAGTAAACGATAAATTAATTGCTCTCAAGACTGAATTCGATGCAAAATAAAATGCAAGACAAAATATGTATTAATATTTCGAAAATGTATAAACATGATATCTAATACATTCATTCTGTAAGATTATAACATTTTAATAGTTCAGTTATTTTCGAATCAAATATTTGGTCAAAAATAAATTAATAAAATTTACAAGTATTAACTTGAGTTAAAACTATGATTCGCTATCAGCACTGAATTCAAACAAAAAAAGGAATTTTCTTAAAACGATTTCTAAGGATCCTACTTCAAAGTTTGGATGAGAAAAATAGTTTCAGCAGATTTTTGGTTTTATACAGGGTCTCCCTGAAAAGGATGGACAACGCTTGACCACGGGCTCCTTGGATGAAAACAAGACTATTTAGCCTAACTTACCTATATACAAAAGTGCACGCCTACTGAGATATAGCCTTCTAAATATATAATAGATAACCTATTTTTTTTTTCAAATAATTTAAAAACTGTTTTTCTTAGAAACTTCAAATTTGGTACACATATTTTTTTTTATATAAGGGCAATGTAAATATAGAATTTGGTGAGAATACATATACAGGATGTTCTCTTTCTAGTGCCTGTGTGCCACTGGCTATCCCGTAACTTTTTTGTATGTACGCCAATGACGACAGAATTTATATTTTTAAAAATAAGCACTATTTTAGAAGATCTTTTGCCTCTTACAAAATTTTGATATCGTTTATGGATTTCGAGTAAAATTAGCATTTTTTACACATTAAATAATATAAAATCAGTTTAAGATAAATAGAACATTCTAGTAAGAGGTGCCATATAACAGAGAAACACATTCATAACAATAATTAAAAGGTTCTGTGTGCTGTGATTTAATTTTAGCTTACTTTGTTTTTTATTGCAATTTATACTTTTGCTGAATAAACTGATATGTTAGTAGTTTTGGGTTATTGTGAAGGAAATTGTTGTGCTACTGTTCGAACATATGCTGAAAGATTTCCTAATCGAAGAACTCCAAATCACAAAACATTTGCTAATGCGGGGAGACGCCTTCGGGAAACACGACGTTTTTTACCTGTAACATTAAATCGTGGATAATGTACGGCCGAATTATTCAGCTGGAGGAACAAATTTTGGAAAGGGTCGAAGAAATTCTTCGAGTAAATAAAAGGCGTTTAGCGGCAGAGGTTGGCTTTCAAAAAGTCCCTTTAATAGAATATTAAAAGACCAGTTATTACAGGTTACAGGTATTACAGGGTACAGGTAGGTATTACAGGTTATTAAAGGTCTAACAGGTGGATGGGTAGAGGAAATAATGCCCCTTTAAAATGGCCACCTCGATCCCCGGACCTAAACCCATGTAATTATTTCATTTGGGAAGCGTTGAGGACCACAATTTAAAATAACTTTTCAGTAAATACAGAAAACGAATATGGGAAGAATACAATATGAAATTAATGTTATGAGAGGTAATGGTAAGGTAAATTATTGGATAATTTCTAATTTTCGAAGAACTAATGTTTGCGTTCAAGAACAAGAAAGTAACTTTGAGCATTTAATGTAATATTATTTTTTTAAATGTGATTACAAATATCAGTTTATTTATAATGTTAATGTTGACTTTCTTACGTTATTAGTTGATACTGTTTATTTAAAATATTAGTATTTTACTCGAAATCCATAAACGATATCGAAATTTTGTAAGAGCAAAAAAATCTTCTAAAATAGTGCTTATTTTTAAAAATATAAATTCTGTCGTAGAAATAGAACATCCTGTATATGTATTCTCTCCAAATTCTATATTTATCTTGCCCTTATATAAAAAAATAAGTGTACCAAATTTGAAGTTTCTAAGAAAAACAGTTTTTAAATTATTTGAAAAAAAAAAATAGGTTATCTATTATATATTTAGAAGGCTATATCTCAGTAGGCGTGCACTTTTGTATATAGGTAAATTAGGCTAAATAGTCTTATTTTCATCCAAGGAACCTGTGGTCAAGCGTTGTCCATCCTTTTCAGGGACACCCTGTATATACAACATGAATGTTAATATTAAAGTAAATAAAAGTATTTTTAAATATTTTATATACTTATTTAATGTAGAGTTATGGCCTTTTTATTTTAAAGCAAATATGTATATATTAATTTTACATACAGAAACATTTACTAAAACCAAACATGTTACATTGATTAAATAAATATAGATATGGCAACAAGGAAAACATTTGAATATTACGGAACGGAATATTTGTTATCTTAATCAAATACCTAAAATATACACTTTGAGAAGTTATTTCAATTTACACTTCCTTCAAATGCATCTATGTATTTATAAATATCCTGAAAGCATTTCTTTCACCTGATAAAGTGTCAATTGAAACATTTTCGAGTTGTCTAAGAACTCCTGTTATGCAAGGAATGCACGTGTTCACATTCTTGTACATGCAAAAAAAAATTTGATGTATTCTATATACGATAGTATTTTTAGTGAAATCACAATTATCTGTTTGGCTGAAAAATGTCTGGTTAGGTATAAAATTCATAAAATTAATCCTATTCACTGACTCTTTTGATAAGAGGTTATTTATTTAACATTTGTATGCTACAAATAATTACAGAAAATATTATATACTGTTTTACGGATGTAGTATCAATAATACTCCGTATTGAATTCAGATTCCCATAAATATTGTCTCAAATTATTTATTCGTGACATAGTTTTAGTTTTTTTCTTTTTATTTATGAAACTATTATTTTATACAGTTTTTTTTCTATGGGCACGTCAATTTTACATTTTCTCAGACTTTTCAAATTTCGTACAGCTTTTTGTTATCTTTAACTTGTATTTGAAGGTAATAAAATGTTTATTTTTTCTGTGATGGATACATTTTAATTCCAACAAATGTATGCCTTCCGTATTTAAGTTGGTAGTACTGCAAACTTTCGCAGTTCACGCTGGTTATAGATGAGGTTATGTGCAAAGCAAAGCTGCCAAGCCAACCGGATATCACTAAATATTTTCATAAGGGCATAATTCAAAAAGTTCGGTTATTTTCTGAACAGACCTCGTAACTGCAATTCTTCCATTTGGCGGACGTAATGTTTACTATTCTCACGGCATTACAATATTTAATGCTCATGTTATGTTTGGTATCATTCAGAACACGACAGAAACTGAATTTGAAACTTAATCTAACTTTTGCATCGCTTGTTCGAATAGTGTAAATCTAATTAATAAAAATCCATTCATAAAATCTCATTGAAGGCAGTTTCAGAACAAGTCCTTGGTAAGACCCACTTTCTCAGAATATTAATGTGCAAATTAAAAGTTATTTTTGCCATGATCTATGATTAACATAGTAATCTAACTTGCTATGCACAATAAATCATAAATTAGAATTCTGCAAACGATCAATACAATTGATTATAGAGTTCTCGGAACAATACCAATCATTCAAGAGTATCTATTATTATTCAAATTGACCACGGAGGTAGATATCTGAAAACTGATTAGTATGGAGTACGATTTCACTTTACTATTTGAAGTTCCAACGTTCCATTAGGTGTTCTGGTTGATGTGACTAAGGTTGAATGGCTTAACATTACAATTTGAAATGCCTATGCAGCATATTGCCAGGACCGACTCAGGAATTTGCAATTCGATTAATTTTTATTATTTTGATGTAGTCACTAAAAACCGTACTTCTTTTGTTTGTTTTATCACATGGGTTCAAATCTATTTTGATTTTGTATCGAAACATTAGGCAAAAAATTTATTTCAAATTGTTGTTAAATGTTAGGCGAATCTGAAAATAAAAATTGTAAAAAATCCATTGGCGTTCTACATTTCATGAAGAAAACGTCGACCGACTAACGTCTAACTACGCCACTGGCAGCAGATAAAAATTGACCTTATAGGTGCCAAAAATGCAGCTCAACGTACAATAACTGCCATATTTTAAGAACCTAACATTGACTATTCCAAATTTATTTAAGATAATATATTTTTTTAAATTTTCAACACCTTGTATCTCGGAATCTAAACGTTTCAGGTCACGTGTTTATAGGAATTTTTTTCTTTAAATACCATAAAAAGTTGTGTCTTGAAGATACGAGCCGTACTTAGGAAACACCCTGCATAACCCTAATCAAAATTTAGAAAACATAAATAGGAAAAAGGCAGCAAATTCGCCACGTGTTCTTGAAATTACTTTGTCACATTTTCCATAAATAACAAACAAATTAAAATAATCCTCATTAGTATAATTTAAACAATCCGCAGGCATTTTTTTTTTAATTTTCAGCAAAAACTATTCAGACAACAATAATTTGACAACTAACCTGACAAATGTCAAGTTATTTCAATTATTTTTAGTGTTTCTGGTCATGGCCAATTTGATAAAAGGTCTGATACGAGAAAAACTGTCCAAAAAATAGAAAATTGCAAATATTTCTAAAAGTAGTAACGGCAACCCTAACAATGCTTATATGGCTTGAAAATAAATTTCAATCTGCATACGACAGAGTAAAAAAATACAGGGTGTTCCATTTAAGTTAACAAAGGTATAGCTGCTTGAAGTTATCAAAATGTAACGGCAAAAATTAAACACACAAATGAAATTTGATTTGTTGGTATACCATAATTTAGTGTTACTTATGCCCTTTGCAGGTACCAAAAATACAGTTGATATCAAGCTCCTGAAAAGAGTTACTAGTATGTCCGCGGACACTTGCATCTGACAAATTTTTTCTTTAAATATTAATATCTCCAATTCTATAACTCCTAGGTATAGGGTATATTTAATAAAGTTACCCTCAAATTTCACGTAGAATCCGAAAATACAATAGTATATAGGGTGTCCCATTTAAAATAACGAAGTTGGTCTAGACTTCCGTTGTAACCGGAAGTGCTAGAGAGTTCTGGATATATTAGCTGTGTTTGCCTCAGAGACATTGCCATGTTGTCAAATTTTAACATTTTTCGGAGTAGTACTATCCTAGATATCGATCGACGCAGTTCCCGGTGGGACACCCTGTATACACAGGATGCGATTCTGTATAATACGTGTACTCTGTTAAAATAAAATTAACGAATACATTTTATTAATTTCTATCTTTACAAGGCGTAGATTTCCGACCAAACAATATACGAATAGTAAATAGACAGTTACGTGTGTAGTTTGAAATTAATAATAAGACATTTTAATAGTTCTAATATGTTTTTTTCTGCATACTCACATTATTAAATTAACTTGGTTAAGTAAGCATAATTTTTGCACTACATGCAAAAACTGTAAAATAAGGCAATAAGTATACGCTACTATTACAGTTTAAGTTAGTTATTATTTATTAAAGCACGCAACTGATTCTAAATGTGAGACTAGCAATTATACTTTAACAAATAGGAATATATAATAGACTAACTTCATATTTCAGTGATATAATGAGGGTATAATTGTAAAATGTTTACCTGTCGCTACCTAATATCAGTGACTATAACAAGAATTATAGTCACTGATAATATGCATCATTAGACTAAACGGGAATATGCTGCCAATGAATATTTAATATGTTTTAAATGAACTGGAAGGTGAAGTGAAGAACTTAATATCAAGGGAACGAATCCGAAAATATGTATAATGATGATCATTAATAAAATAATCACAAAGCTTGTCATTGAGTAGTAGATCAGCGTTAGTTTTAAAAATTCTCCAATTAACTAAATGTTTCTAGTTTGAGTTCATATTGTTGCTTTTACTTTCTAGTTTGTATTCTGTGGGTCAGTAGAAAGCGGTAAATATACATTTGTAATAAGGACAAATAATACTTACAAGTTGTTCGCCAGTTAGAACTTCCAAGAGAGAGATCAAGTTGTGTCCATCTCGTAAATCTTCGAATAAATCTCGAATTTGACGTCTAGCCTGCAAATAGAAAGTGAAAAAATTAATACACCATAAAAGACTAAAAAAAAAACTGATAATACACAAATAATTTAAATGAATTTAATAAAAGCACCCTGTCATTTAAACACCCAGTACAGGGAATGCGATAAAAAAATACGAGAACAAAATGTGCGTAATTTATATGCTACTTAACGAAATATTTGCACTAGTGACTAGATAACTGGAAAAAATAAATAAAAATACAGTATAAAATGTAAATTTAATTTTTAAAAGCCTCATTAATATTTTAATTCCGAAATCTAGTCACTATCATATTTCTAAAAAAAAATAACACATATTAAACTATAATAATGATTACAGTGAAAAATTGGTGATGATAAAAAAATCATGCTCTACACACTAAAACGGCACACACTAATGCTCGTAGACTTACTGAAGGTGGACAGCACGGGACATTGTTGACTGTTACGCAAACATGAAGACACGTGTATGTCTGAAATGTTTCATGGCATCAGTTAAGATATTTCCACTCATACTATTTTGTTTGCACAATGGTGATATTTGAGGGAGATGCCTAGGTACTAATATAATTTTGAAATAATAAAAGTGAAGTTTAATAAATATAAAGAAGTTTTCCATGAATGTATTAAAATAATTTAGGTCCTATTATATTCTTATCAGTGTCGAGCAGTAATCAATTAAATTTTCAATCAATTCATTAATTGATTAAAATATAATAAAAGTAGCTGCGATTAATTTATTTGTAGTTAAAATTAATTGCAATTGAACTATTAACTGCACGTTGTACTAATAAATTATCCTGCTTCAATACAGACAGACACTTTAATTTTATGTGAACAGATATTTGCATCGAAATGATTANATTACAATTAAATTTTTTAATTGCTCTAAAAAACAATTAAAACTAACAATTATTCAGCTTCGATACAGACAGACACTTTAATTTTATGTGAACGGATATTTGTATAGAAATATTTGTATAGAAAAGATTACTAAAATGTGGTTGTCAATATTAAACTTAAATTATTCACAAAACTTCATCAAATCTGCAATTAAGTTTAATTAAAATTGAGAAAAAGAAAAATAGCAGCCTTTTATTTATTACAAACACTACATATTTTATTCATAACTTACATTACACCTCCGTTTTGGCGCCACTAATTAAAAAGATTGACAATTGATTAACCGTTAATTGTGGAAACTCACGACTAATACTTAATTGTACCTACTTAATTGTTAGTCGCGAGGTTTCAGGATTGCAATTAATTAATATTTAATTGCAATAGGAGAGATTAATAATGAATTAATTGTAAATTTTTAATTGTCCATGAATTTAATTTTGTCCAACAGTGATTTTTAGCATTTTCAGAAAAAGATATACCGGGCGTTTCTATACAAATTCCCTGTCGGTTATCTCGAAAATCAAGAGATGTTCTGTAAAAACTGTAGGGCAGGGCCTATTAATAACTTCAAGTAGGTACTCTGAGTATAAACACTATTTTTCATATATGGGGACGTGATACAACTTGGTCTTGCGGATATTTGCCGCAGTAATTTTTTCAAACGCAAAATTACAAAAATTTCTACAAAATAATTTTGGATCCTAGGAGTTTTGAGGCATTTTTTACTGTACGTTAAGCTGGGTAAAATATTTTTATTGTCACCTGTTTGATCAAATACTAAATTAGATTTTTATTAATATCGAATAATTAAAGAACCTAAAACAACATAGAATTATTCGTTTCATAGTAGAAGGAAAAATAACACGCCAATTCCAAATATGATTTAGTAGGAGTTGTGCAAACAAAATAATAAATGAAAGTTATTACTAGAAAGGTACGGATCGTATTTTTTTCAAATTTCCATGGGTACCTCTTTATGGCGGAAAAAACGTGTAACATATTGCAAGCAACCTTCATGTAACAATGAGAAATTTGTAGAGAATGTCAAACAATGCCATAAAACTACAAAAAGCTTCCTTTGTGTACGTTATGTTTCTCCTTGAGTCATTTTATTTACTTATTTGAAAAAATAGTTATTTATAAATAATTATGTAACAGATTTTTTGGATTATTTAAATGATTTCTTTTGAATGTCTTGTGACATAAAAAGAAAAATAAATCCATATAATGATTATTTAAACCAGAATGATGAGGATTTTATTATTTCTTTAAGTGTGATTACAGAAATATGTATTTATTGTTTTTATAGTCATATTTGCAGTACGAAAAAACTTAAAACGTGTAAAAAATTTATAATTCTGAAAGTCTTCGGATGAAATACAGCAAGCGTTATGTCAAAAATATGAACGCCTAAGTGATTATACAAAGTATATGCATATGTATAACTTGTTACATTTGGGTTCAAAATATCTGCTCACATTTGGGTTCAAAATATCATGTATTATTCTTGTGTTAAATTCACACTTGATAAAGATATGTAAAGCTACGATAGAAAGATATTACCATTTTTACATTTTACTGAGGATTGCTTTTTCAAGTGGCCTTCCTAATCGAATTAATAAATAAGTATTGAGTAGATATAAAACGTTTAGAAAAAATTTAAATCTTAAATGATAGTGTCAAAAGTTTTGTTGTTAACAGTTTCAGTATATCAAGTATGTGTTTTTTGTATTAATTATATTGAAACATACATTTTTAGTGTTTTTATTATGAATAATTCTTTATTACGAGCTGTATACTAGGTATTGCTGGTATAATTTAATGCTAGTTTGTGCAGTTAAATATTTTTGCCTATCCAGATTTTTCGTATCGAAGAATTCATCATCTCATCTGACAGGATTTTTAGAAACATATTTGAATTGGCTTAACAACATTTAACATAAAGAAAAAATATCTGCTTTAGGACCAAATTATCAAAGAAAGTTTATCTTACAGTTAAATAACTATAAGTTTAGAACGTGATTTATTTCAATTAAAACGTACGAACGGCAACACATTTTAATATTCTAGTTAGTTAACTGTAAGATAAACTCGCTTTTTTAATTTGCCCCTTAAGGAGGGCGTTTTTGGGCGTAATTTTTAGTGAATTTATAGCAGTCTTTTGACGAAAGTTTTAGAAAATCTAAGCAAGTCAGAACTCTTCACTGTACCAGTTATACAATTTTTCTCCAGTAATATTTCACTGCGAAAAGTTAAGGGGATCCTTGTACATCAACATTTTTATAGTTTAGATGGATGGAAGTGCGATTTCTTATCTATAAAATGCCAGCCTTTAATAACCAATTTCTCTTTCTCAATATGACAGGTATACTCGTATTTCTCTATACAGGGTCGGAAAGTACCGATGGTCCATCTGCCGTTACGTGAGAGCGATAAAGTAAGTCATAGAAATCCGTGCGATAAAGAAAGATGGCTATAATGAAGGAGTCTAATAATCACCGCTCATTTCGCCCTTCCACAAATAAGAAGTGGATCTTATTTGTGGAAGGGCGAAACGGGCGGTGACTATGAGACGCCTTCATTATAGCCATCCTTCTCTATCACATGGATTTCTATGTCTTATTTTATCGCTCTCACGTAACGGCAGATGGACCATCGGTACTTTCCGAACCTGTATAGATACGATCCAAATATTCGCGGAAAATTCGCATTGAAAATTATGTAACCAAACCTGTATAAAATCATGTTCGCAACCTTAAAGTCACCTGGGACCACCTCCATTATTTCACACAATAAAAACAGTAAGGAGCATTATCTGAAAGCAGTTTCTTCCAAAGGAATTTTATCTTATCCCAAAGAGGGCTACTGTTAACCAAACATTCTGACGATAAATTATCGCTGAAGCACTTGTACGGATAAATTACGCAGAACACGGTATGTTAAATATCTTCACAGAAGAAACTTGTATATAACAGCAGTCCATGCAGAATAAGTCAACCCGACTTATTTACACTGATGATCCAAGTAAGGTAGGTTGGCTTTAAATAATGCCTATATTTTTTTCACATTCTTCACAAAAAATATTTCTTGAATTAAGATTAATGTGTCTCACGGTGATGAGACATTAGACATATTTCAGAGACTACTTCGATTATAATTTTGAAAATTTGGGCAATAACGTTTTCAGGCATGCTCTTCTCAACTAAAATAATGGCGTCCGCTTAAGGCTTCCGGTTAAACATGAAGTTGACGTCATCTTCATTATTTTAAATGGAACACCCTGTATATTATTGCAATTTTGGATTCTACGTCAATTTTTATGTGAACTTTCATAAAGGTTCTCTATTCTTAAAGTTAACCGTTTTTAATATATTTCATTTAAAAAAATAATAGATAAAAATACACTGCCTAATTAAAAAAGATGTGTATTTTAAATAATAAAGTTAGAGCTATAACATTTATATAGGACATAACTAAAACTTTACCATAATTTCAAAATGACTTAATTTCACACAGAGTGGTAGAAATTTAGTCAACTTTGAACCATCTTTATATATATTTTTTTTATGAAACACCCTGTATATTTTTGCGCAACCTGATGAATAATTTTGTTTTCTTTCGGATGTTATAATGGTTCCCTATATCTATCTCTTCTGGTGTTTAAGGATTTGCTGTTTCTCATACAGTCAACAGATATCGCATAATTTCTTGCGAGGATGGCTGTGAAATTTTTAGTAGAACTTCAAAACAAGCACCTAATCTGTCGCCAGTTTATCACCAGATATAAAAATCTGGTGGGGACAGATCTGGAGATCTTGGTGACCAATCCCAAGGTCTTAGACGTCTAATCCACCTGTGTTCAAACATTTCATTTAATTGGCAGAATACTTCGTTTCTACAAAGAGGTGGGACACCGTCTAGCTGATACCAGCAGCTTCTTACAATTAGTTGATCTAGGGGCAGATCCTCTAAAAAATTTGTTACAATGGTTCTCAAAATATGGGGATATCTTTNTATCATGTTCGGGTTCATCTAACCAAACCCTTACTTGTAACGCATTTCCTTCTTTGCACCACTGGAAAATATCCTCCATTT